CGTTATCCCACTCAAATATGAAGGTAGGGATAGGAGGACTCCAAGTAGAGGAAAAAGGGAAAAAATCCCAAAAAACGCAGAAAATATGAGCCTTGCTCTATACTGCGGAAAAGTCGTAACAAGGAAAGGAGTCTAACAAGGAAACGATTCCATGGCCATCCAGGACGAGAAGTGCACTTCTGTATGAGTCTTGGAGCCCTGACTTCCAGACGATTCTCATAACGAAGTTGTGGAGAACCTCTGCCTGATGGAGTAGCTCACATAAGCCCGGCTGGCAAAGAGATGTGTAGCAGCGGCGCAGTTAGTGGAGGGCTAGACTCGTAGGCAGTGATCGTGTGATCGATTCCTTGAAGGTTTATTGTTTTGCATTTTTGGCAAGACCTAAAACACTTTCACCCACTCTAGTTTATCATATTCTCATACGTGCCTCTATTTGAGTGTTTGCGAGTTTGTTATAACTGCAATACGATTGGACACCGCCTGCCCGCGGCTGCTCGTAACGCCTATAGCGCACGCGCCAGTGATTTTTGCCAAACGAGTATAACATTGGTGCTTAGGAGGTCAAAATGTCCTGAGTTGAATTCCAGTCAAATCTGAATTACTAACCCACTCCGAAAAAGAGGGAGCTATTCACTGGTTCTTCTGCCCAACTAGCACGCCCATCTAGACATCCTCCTTTTCGAGGGAATTTGCTTCCAGTCACCAAAAATGCGACAGTAGCAGAAGGTCGCGCGACTGAAACCAGCAAGAAAAAGGAAGTGAAGGTGGTGTTTGTGGTAAAACAGAGATCATGGTTCAGTCCGAACAAGACCAGAAAAGTTGACGTCATATGAAAATCATTTCCTTGTGTACTTGGTATTGGATTCCCTCATAAACACTTTCAATTCAGCTCAAAGAACTGTCCTAAAATGTGACTCTAAGTGTTTCTGAAAGATTCCATCCACAGATCAAGCTTTGATGACCAGCAGAGATGATAGATGACTGCCAAACTTTTCAAAGTTGCGTCAGAATTTTTGATTTGGTCGAAAATTTGTTTCTAGAGCTGATTTTACTCCCTAATCATCGAATATCGAATATCACTCTCGTTTTGTGCTGAATCATCTTTCACGTGTGATATGGACGCCATGAGCTGTCATGCATAAACAGTCGCTAAACTTGCTCACAAGATTTCGTGCAGGTAATTTCAGGCAAGCGTTGATGAGGAAACACTGTTTGAAGTATCTCTAACTACGTTGTCGTGACAAAAGCAAAAGGCAAACGATAGGGGATCGATCCCATGACGTCTAGCTTGTGAGCTGCGACCATTGAAGTCAAGCTATTCTGCTTCATAATTAGGTTCAAGAGATCGTTCAGCCGATCTGGAGAATAGAAATCAATTTCAGCATTAGAAGGCACATTCAGCGGTATATATTTCTTCTTGAATGGCCATGGGGACCTGGAATCCTTTTGTTGTAAGAGGCAGGCATGGAAATAGGAGATAATGTAAGCCGCAAAAACGTTCAAGACTCTGCGATCGCTTCGTGAGCTGCCTAAGAGATCACATAATCTTCTACTTGAAATCAGATTAGGAATTATACGTTGATCAAGACAGCGTTGAAGAAAGTGAATCGATTGTTGAGCTGAGACAATTTTCCGTCAGACTTTCTTTCAACGAGCCGTTGATATCGAGCTATCATGTCATTAACGAAATTGAAGCAAAGGGCTGCTGGCATTTGTTGAGCGGTACATGTGTAGTTCACAAGAGAACTTCTGCACCAACGCTGATGGAAGGAGACGTTGTGACGTATACCAAAGGAAAATATAGCACGCGGCCTTGACAGGTGATCAAGGTGATCCCTTCGAGGTGTTAGACTGAACGATATAAGAGAACTGTGACAGGAATATTGCTGAATCTGTTCATGTCGAGGTACAACTCGAATGCGTTTGAGGGTAGAAATGAATTCACAATCTGGAGTGAAAGTCGAGGACATACCGTATCTTGAAGGAATTCAGGGACGCCCTCAACATGCCCTGCATCGACCTATGCGGAGGCTTGTAGCAAAATCCTTCCCGCTGTGGAGATTCGCATTTCTTACTTACCTGTTTGTTCGGCCATTTTGTATCAGTCAGGTGTGGTTCATCCATGAAAAAGCCTCAAAACTCATTCCATAGGAATTCAGCAATATCTCAATGTACAGCGCACTTGATTAGCTGTGTCAAATTCATGAGTGAAGTAATAGCCAGCCTTTTGATAGTTTTCCATAACCGCTCTGAAGGATACGGATGACTATCATTACACTAATAGAGGCTACCAGCGCCTCAATTTCTCGAATCTTTAAAGCTCACTTCAGAAAGAGCAATCCCGCAAGGACGATCTGGAATCGTGGTGGTACATGATTATCGAATTTATGCTCGGAAAGCTCCCATGGGCTGACATGAAGGTTTGTCATAATTACTTGCACACTGATACTGTCACTGAGATCATCGAAAGTACATCCTATGAAAGCGAAAAGTGCAAAAGAAAAATAGAAAATTTAGCTTAGAATGGCTGTTTCCTTGGAAAATCAGAAGAAATGCCGAGAGCACTTTAGAGTAGAAACCCTTTCCGTAGCAGATTTCTAGCATTTCATGAGTCTAGGGCGAGAAAAAGCGTTCGCACGTCAAACAGCGGGGAGACAGGAATGCAGACATACTACGACCGAAATGACAGACACACCAATGAACCAAATTTCGTTGAGAATTCTGAGTAAAAGGCGTTCAGCAGAATCGGCCCGTATACATACGTTTCGAATCAGTCTGATCTTTTTTTTTAATTTCATAAACCGCTAACTTGGTGTGTCGGTTTGTATGTACGTCGGCATGTATTACAGTAACTCTCAAAAATGTTCGCCAAAACGGTTTTTCATGATTCTTTTTCTCCAGAAGAAAATAGTGGTGACTTTGAATTTTTTTCTTGTGGATATCCTGATTCTCGAAGAATTGAGGATGTAAAACACGAAAACATAGTATATTAATAATGCACCGAACATCGTTTCGACGAACACTTTTGACCGCCACTGGAGTATGCATGTCTGTGTGTCCGTCTACAAAATGAAGTGGGTGATAAGGTAGCTAATGGAACCGCTAAAAACCGCTAGACAACCGCTCACAGAATCGGTAGCTCGCAGGACTTTGAGCTATCAATGTTTTGTAGCAGGATAGTTGTGATAACACTCTAGGGCTATATAAACACCTGCTTAGCACACTTCCGTTCATTCCACATGGTGCTGCAGTGGCAGCTGGAGGGCAGTGGAGAGAGGAAGGGAGGATGGGGAGGGAGGCGGAAAATCTACCGTCACGACTTGGTCATGGCGATTCCCCTCTACTATATGAACTCTTTTTGCTGCATGCGCGTCACCTAGACGAGGTGTTGGTGTCACAGGTGGAAAGAAACAACAACGGAAGACGTAAGTTCTACGCAGGAAAGGATGGTCCCAACAATTGGCGGGGGATCAATCTGGTCTTTTTGAAAGGAGGAACACTTTACAGGGCTAACAGGGGAACCTGGCTTTGCCGTTGAACCCTTACAAACCCTTGTGGAGTTGCTCATCGCAGTCAGCAGCTGCAGTTGACAGTAGCAGGGGTCATCCTTACTGTCGCGCCGGTATGAACCCCTTGCTCCTCGCACATGCTTAGACAGGTCGATGAACTGCGCCACCCAGGACTAAACCGAGCTGATCGCAACCTAAGTTCCTACGTCTTATGACGGATTCACTTGCCCGGTCCAAGGCATCGCACTCACCACGTGCGTATACGCAACACATGTGAAAGTAGGAAACATTCGTCGCGAATCCAAATCGACTGAGATCTTCGCCTAACATAGCAATGCACAATCTAATCATAGATTCATGTACAAGAGCTTTGAAACTACTAAGTAAATAGAGATCTATAAATAACTTCACGACAAGAAGCTACTCAGAGATCGAACCAGGGTCAACCGTTACGTTGGACCGATATTGGAGCGACGTTGGACCGATGTTCACCGCTCTCCGCGCCGGCATTCACTCTCGCCACCCGCGAGCCGTCTGTGTCTCCGTGCGTACGTTCACTCTCGGCATTACTCTCGTCGTCGCGTTGGACTTTGTCCAACGGACGGTTGACCCTGGATCGAACTCAGATGCTCTTACTATGGAGGTGACGTGGCTGAGGTTCCGTGTTCCATCTCCTGGCATCCATGTCCTGATGCACACCCATTCTGCTCGACGGCGCTCACGAAGGTGGAGTACGGAGCGATGACTAAGCGGCTAGGCTCTGCAGCGCCAACGTGTAGATGGCAGGCAAGGGCGCCGGCACCTTACTTCATTAATGCTCTCCGAGAATCTTCGACAGCACAGCCGTGCTAAGATCCGCACACTTCCTTCCAGGTGCGACCCTTTACTCAAGTCGTACCAAAGTTACGGTAAAAACAAAAAGCAAACTAAGTAAAAACATAACATGCCATGGCGCACAAGACTATGAAGATGTAGGTAAAGACACTCAAGTGTGTCTCTGTGTCTCAAAATGTGAAAAGAGTGTTTGTGTGGCCGTAACTCGCGATCTAACTGATTCACACATAAAGGAACATCTCAGGATTTGTAACGCGCGAACAGCACATTTCAAAAAATTATCGTTTCAAAGCAAAACGGAATCAGTGCAAAATTATAGCCCAATCAAATAGATGAGATCAAGCACATGAAGAAGCAAGTTCGGCTAAAACCTAACCTTAAAAAGGTGAGTACTTTGTTGGCTTTAGAGTTTTATAACCAGGAGCTCAAATTATGCAACAGTTAGTTGGAAGAACGACATACCTTCAGCACACGGGGCGACATTAGATGGTCATGGAATCCACCCTAGCGTTGCAGCGATCTCACTGCGATCTCATCCATCCGCCGACTACACAAATCCAATAGCTTTTGCTTTTCCCTGTGTACACCATGACCCCTCCAGTTCCATCATTTTCCGGAAATCCGTTCGGTCCGCCATCTGTAACACCAGAAGTAATTGAAACCCTGAACATAACACGGGCAACATTTGGAGGCATAGTCTGGTATTTTCAAGATAGGAATACGAAAACACGTCAAGGTTCGATAAGAAAATAGAATTTGGTGTTAGTGTCCAAGCACTGCATGCTCCTAATATACAGCATTCGCTATGTCTATGCGTATGTATGTACGTACTTGTCACGAACTTCATACCGCGCTTCGCTGCAACAATGGAGCGCTGTCCTTCAAGTACCAGTTATCTCTGCACGGTACCGCCTGCATGACACGAAAGGCTCCGATGAAACTGACAGGCGGTAGAGCACTAGGCTCCACTGCTAAATGGTAAGTTGCTTGGATAAAGGCACAACCCAGGCAGAGGTCGTGTGAACGCTTCTCTTCGGTCTGTAGTATAGAACCCCTAGAGGACAATCACAAATGTGGCGTTCCGTGCACGGAAACCAACCGACAAGCCTTGCAAAGTAAGCTGCTGAAGCTGCAGATTTTTTTCTCTTATCAGGCTGTTGTCTGGCGCTCTCTCATCTGTAGCGCTCTCTCGCCTCATACTCTCCTCTCCGCGCTTAGTCTCTCATTCCCTTAGCACAGCCGATTAGGAAGGTGAGTGAGCCCTCAACCTAAGCGTTTTCGACGGATTCTTTTCTTTTTTTATTTGCCCATTTCGCACCAATACATTCGCATTCGTGTGCAAGAGCCACATAAATGTGATCCTGGGTCATGCCTTCAAAGTGCGCGGTGAAGTGCGGAATGAAAGTGATGTTGGGCAACCAACCACCATACATTGAATGTCAGGATAATTTAGCGGTTGAACAATAGTTGATGGTATTGATGCTGATAATGGAACTACTCAGTACTCATTATCGTATTTATTCAAACACCTCATTCACTCTTGGGGACTCTGGGAAGTGTAGCGGCAGAATGTTATTTTATCATTCATTTGAATCAAGGCCTCACTGCTGCTGAGACGCGCGCTATGAATTTCGTGAAAACTTGCGTTCTAGCGCCTCTTATCAACTCTTATCAGTCGTTATCACTTTCTGACCCCCACCAAATATGTTCCCGTCCCACCCCCTATATCATATCCAATCAACTCTTCTGAGGACTACTGCGAAGCGCGCTATGTTTTTCGCAACACACACGCAGAGATACACTAATTTTCAAGCATTTTTTTATATAGAAAGGATGTTGTAGGGGTAAGGCGGAAACATATATGGTGGGGAACAGGAAGTGATAACGGCTGATAAGATCCGATAAGAGGCGCTAAAACGCATTTACGATATCCATAGCGCGCGTCCCAGCATCAGTGAGGCGTTGGTTCCAAGAAGTGATGTAGGGGGTGGGGAACATCTTTGGTGGGGGACAGAAAGTGATAACGACTGATAAGATCCGATAAGAGGCGCCAGAACGCCAATTCCACGATATCCATAGCGCGCGTCCCAGCATCAGTGAGGCGTTGGTTCCAAGAAGTGATGTAGAGGGTAGGACGGGAACATCTTTGGTGGGGGGGGCCAAAGTGATAACGGCTGATAAGGCCGATAATAACGATATGAGCAAGAGCAGAAATCCCGAGAATGCATGGTGGATGTTCGGAGAAATAGAATAACGAGTACTGGACATTTCTATTTCAACATCAAACACAATCCGACCGCTAAATTACACTGACATTCGATGCATGGTGGTTGTTTACAGACACCACTTTAGCTCCGCACTCCACTGCGCGTATCAAACGGTGAGCTTCTGCAAAGATGGCAGCCTATGGAACGGTCAGCTAACGCATTTTACGAAGCAACTCAATGTTTAGCGGTGAACCTAACGCTTTATCGGCTGTCCTGTTTCACCTAGGCCTTCCGTTTAAAGACAATCCCGGGATTAAACTGGTGCTATTAGCGCTTCGTAGTGATAGCTTAGCTGCGGAACGACCTGAAAGTGGAAAGGAAAGCAAGAAATCTTTGGGAACGCTGAAATTAAGGCCTTAACCTTCAATAAGGTCGGATGTGGTACGATGGCGAGACAGGGCGGTCAAAGAAGACAAAATACGCGAGAGAGCACGTCGTTTGAGAGAGCACGCTGATCTCTACATCAATGCACGCTGATCTCACCACTCTCGCGGTGGGTGGGAAGCGTTGGATGGGTCGATGGTTGCAGGCCCGTAAGGATTAGCGCCCTAACCGCGCAATTTTCGAAGCTGGAGTGATCTAGGTAGGTACGGACCTTACAATTTCCCTCGTGGTATCCCTCCTACTAGTCGGGCTAATCCCGGGGTTTGCCTTTAAGACTGGTCATAGAGATAACAGCTGACCATTTCATGACGAATAGACTCAAACAGCACAACCAAAGTTCTTTCTTTCAGTTTTTGAAAAACACACCGGAAGAGTACATGACGAACATCATTTTGTACATTGATACTCTTCACTATAATTCAATTCCCGATTACGACCATGTAGCCGCGCATTTGGAAGCCGCTGTTAAGGTATGCTTCAGTACATTGCTCCTTTCCTGAATTGAATTCCGCTACCATCCCTTTCCTGAGGTGAATTTCTTAACAGTCCTGACCTCATAACAGATTTCTCATGTACTGTAGCGGTCAAAAGTGTTCACCGAAACGGTTTTTCGTGCTTCTCTTTTTTTTGCCAGAAAAAATCAATGGTGGCCTCGAAAATTTTTCTTTTGAATATCCTGATTCTTTAAGACTTGAGGATATAAAAACACTAGAAAACATAGTATATCAATCTTTGGAGGGCGTTGCTCAAGCGAGAAAAAATAATGCACTGAAAATCGTTTCGGCGAACACTTTTGACCGCTACTGTACATCAGCAAAGTGATACTAAAACGCACATTGGGTATGGTATCGTTACTCCGGAGTAGAGCGTCATTAGCTTATCTTGTAACCTTGCGTATGACCAGTCTCATCTTCTTACAGCAATCGGGCACCACTTTTCCCGTCTGTCCAAAATGTGTTCCATGCAAGATAACATCTTCTGGCGAGAGTACCACTTTTAGAGCTGTTTGTGAGTGTCTACTAATCACGGGTGGGCGTTAACGACTGCTCAGATTATCAGTAATGATATGTACTGATGGTGCAAAAACAATGATCTCTTGAGGCCAATTATCGCCAGATTCTCCTCACTTTTATAACGCCGAAGGGGAATTTTGCACGGGAAATATACAAGTCGACCTATCGAGTGAAATAAAAACTGATCTGCCATGTCAGAGTTTCGACATCTGAGCGATTGGTGCTATTTAGGCTTACTATCTGAACTACGATTCACCACCAGATTGGGATCTTATGGCAGAGTATAAAGGGCCACGGTATGAGAAGGCTGTAGGAGAAAAAGAAAACTAATAATTGAGGTTAGTTTCACACTTTTGTTTTTGTGTATCAGGAGGTCTTCACACGCACACTGTGCATATATTCAGTCCTACCACACTGTGGATTGAGCGGAACTTCTTTCAAACTCTACTGCTTCCACCCACTCCCCGCCCCTCCCCCCTACTTGTTTAACTTCTCCATTAAACACTTTCCTAACTCAACGTTTACGTAACGTATAGGAAATTAAACGTGTATATTTTATACATGTCTTTAATCATTTCAAATAATGGCTGGCAGTCCCTCCGGCTTTCTTTCTGTGTCGCGGTAACCTCGTTTCGATGTACTCTTGGACTAAAAAAAGTGTTACCATTATACGAACACACTGGAATTCGGCGATCAGAGGGAAAATCGAATTAGGAAGAATTCACCTGGTTGAGGGACCCGCGGAGCTCCTAAGTGTGCGAACTGAAGCACAATTTGCACAGGAGGAGTTGACCTCGTTGACCTATTAAGGTTTAATCCCGCCGCGGCTGGTCAGTGCACGCCCACCGATCATCTGATCACTCGCCGCAGGTCTATACGTGGTGAGTGATTAGATAGGTGAGAGAGCGTAGTGTTGAAGAGGGCACAGCGATGATAGCTCAAATCAACGGGCAAGGAAGGGGTTCCATTTCTCAGGTTCTGGGCCGTTTCTCATTGTTTTTCCTTCGTTAGTGTACCACTCACCATCGCTAGGTTAATTTGAAATGGGTTGCCTTTCCAGCGTGAATTCGTCCTTTAAGTTGTTCACTTTTATTTCC